CATAAGCATCTTTAATTGCTGAAGTTTTGTTGTGTTGTTTACTTGAACTTTGCAAATATTGTTCATATGTGTCTCTATTAACTTAGCTTGTGTTTTGGATAACATACTGAATGGGCATTTGTCCAGATGTGTTTTGGTTAATAATTATTTTTTAAGTTTGGTGATCATGAAAGGAAGCTATAAGGCTAACAGCCACGCTTATGTTTATGAACAAGAAAAAAAGCGTTACCTAAAATATATGCTGTCATATATAGTGTGTTGGTTTTATTCCTAACTATCACGAACATAGTTACAGAGAAGCTTTATAATTTCTGTTACTGTTACTTATGTGAATAAATCACCCGGATGTTCTTGGCTATGGCCTGTATATTGAATGAATTCTGCAGAAAGTCCTAGTCAGAGAGAAAGCAAAGGTCAGATTGGACCAATATGTCTCCCTTTGTCAAAGAGCAGAATTTAATTCCCATGCTTAACTAAACTTAGTATATCTAGTATTTAATTAATGAAGATAGAGGTATTGAAAACCAATAGATTTAATGAATTATTAAACTCAGCAAATTATATAAAGTGCTTTCTAACCACAGGATTTGTATGTTTAGGTTATAGTAATGAAGCAGTTTCTGTTAGTGCTTTTGAATAATGATGGGAATATTTTGCATTTGTTTTGGTTGAAAGATTATTTAAGTCAATACAGAGCAGATGGAGCCTCTGCCTGTAAAGAGTGATTTTCATTGTGACAGGTCAGGAAGTGTCTGTTTACATATATATCTAAACAATGGGCCTGAACCATTGTTTTCCTTTTGTAGAGTATAGTAATTAAAGGCAAAAATAATTTACCTCTTAATATTCCATGGATAAATTTGCTTCCAGGGAGGCTAGGGGAGGAGGGGAACACCAAAACCAAACAACCCCCCCAAAATAAAAAATGCACGAGAGATAGTGTAACACTCTGAAATGAAAAATACTGGGATTTGAACAAAATATTCCTGTCTGAGGGTAGGATTTGTTTTTTAATTAAAAAGTGAAACTAATATGATGGATCTCTAGTACAGGTGGTGTCAAGAACTAACAAATTATGGAAGTGGTTGAGGCAAACACTTCTTAAAGAATGAACCTGGTAAACAGGGATGGTGCTGTTAAGGACAGATTTGCTGGGGTTGCAGAACTATGAAGTCTCTCTCTGGGGGTAGTGTGGGTTTTTGTACTTCTATTTCTCTTCTTCTCTTGAGAACAGTCTGATTTACTTTTGCGATAAACCCGTAGCAACAGGGGGATCACATTGCTGAAATGAGTTTAGCTGGAAGGGATACATAATGTCAGCTGAAAAATAGCACTTGGTAAATACGTTTTGGCCATGGTTCAGCAAAAAGCAGATCCTGTCAGCTAAGTAACATTCTGTTTTCTTGAAAGTGTCTTTTAGTTGCGCAGAATAATACAATCTCTGCCTTTTTGAAAAATAAAAAAGAAAAAAAAATACTGGTTTGTCTTAGGTGCTATATATGTGGTCCTGACAAGGCTAGCATGGATCACTTCAGTTTTCAATACATTTATTCTCCAGTGTACCCTTGACATGGGAAAGTGTTATCAGGTGTGGGGAAGTGAGTACTGTCTAAGTCTACATCTAATACTGTCGTTTGGGTGCTGGGTGGGGAAATGGCCTTTAACAGTCCATATTATTGTGGGATGCTCAGCTGGCATCTGTTCTGTTTATGCCATCTGCCCACGCAATGTCAAGGCCCTTCTGAATTGTGAGATCAGAACAAGGGAAAATGAAATAGGTAGAAATTGCGAGGGCAGATAAAGTATGCCTGCCTTATCCAGATTCTCAGTAGGTGGGTGCTTGGGTCTGTGCTACCTTAACTGGACCATTTCCTAAGAATGAAGGGTCTTTATATGCAACACGTAGCCACTGTCATATGGTGCAGACATTTTTCAATATTAGAACCTGCACTGAAGTTCCTAAAGCCGTGAACAAATTACAGAAATAAGTGTTTCTGTCTGGGCTTCAGGTAGTAGTAACTGTGGGAAAGTCATTTATGTATTTTAGAAATGTAAAAATGACATCCCAAAGTAAACATTCCGGCAGAAAAAAATCTGGCCTTATTTTTTCTCAAGCAGTAAATTGGGAAAGCATCGTTGTGTAAATACATTGTAAGCTAGGAAATTTTCATATGAACAGTGCTGTGTTTATGACAGCATTCAGAATAGCAGTCTTGCCAGAGGAGATGTCAGACAATCCTCCTGTTCTTTCTTCCTTGCTCTTGTTGAAGCACCAAACCATATGGCAAATTAAGTCTGATTTTTATTAAACTTTTCATTGTACTGAGCTTAGTGTGAACTGGGAAATGCACTTTCTTTGAACTATGCAGCCATTATATAAGCATCTTAATTAGGAGATGTTAATGTTCTTTCTTACGTTCCCGGGAGTATGTAGCTCCCTCTTGTGGCTAATTGAACATTTTAAAGAATCATACTTCTGCAAATTACTTTTTGTGCAACAACCATTGCTCTTGAACAAACAATGCAGTGATAGCCCAGCACGTCCAGCCTGGGCTTCTTGTTACTATATCAAGCATAAGTTGCTGTATCATAAGTTGCATCATAACTAGATGCGTAGATGAGTGAATAGATAGGAGAGAAGGGTCTGCACGTACGTGCACTGTGAATGTAACTGCTTCCTGAAGCTTTAAAAAAGCTGAATGGGCACATCCAGTCATTTAGAAAAAACTCTGCTGTCCGGTAACTCTGTTGGTCCTATACATTATGTGCTGAAGAATGGTTTACAGCTCAAGTGGGGATGAGATATGGGATGTGTCGTAGCTTCAAGGTGTACAGATCTTTCAGATACCACATTGGGATGTCTTGCCATCAAACTCAAGGTTAAGATCTTTGCTAGATTTGGAATTGAGAGGAAATTTTCCCTCCAGTCACATTTGCAGGGACCCTTATTACTATTATTATTATTACACTCCTGTCTTTCTATCTAGTGTGGAGAAATATCTGCATATGATTATCTGGATTTTTTTCTGATAAATTCCTTTGCACAGCCCATGATTTGTTTTGTTTTCTGTGACTTGTAACAACTGGGGCATTGTGCCTATACGACATCTTAAATTTGTCATAAACAGTGAGGTAATGTTTGATGGCTATGGTGGAAATGGCTGTTGTATAGACACTTCTGAATTAGATTTTTGTGCTGACCTGTGGCTGACTTCAGGCGTTTAAAACCACTGCTCTTATATTGGATGGGAAGGTGTATCTGTCTTGTAATAAGATCTCAGAAATCAGGGCAAAAGATGATCAATTCATCTTTTCACTACAAAAGTGAGCAATGGTCATGACATTGTAAAATCGTAAGCATAACTTTACATTAAGAAAATAACTTTTTTTTTAGGCTTAGTGTAAAAAATACCAGGGATTGGGCAAAAATTGAATTGAACAGCAGGAACCTTTTCAGTAGGAACCATTAAGTTTCAGTGTCATGACAAAAACCCTGAAGTCACAAAGTTACTTTTTGCCCTTTTGTCACCTGCAGTGTTGTCTGCCTCTGTGTTTTTGTATGACATACTCAAAAATACACGAGAAGAAAATTTCACCCATTAGTGTTTCTGACTTGGACGAAGGAAGAAAAAAAGAAAGTGAATCAGGTTTTTACTTTGAAATTTCTCCCTTCCCCAAAGGGCTTGAGAATTGAAACTTTATCTCTGAAAATGCCGATTTCCTATTTCATAACTTGTGGCAATTTTTTCTCAATTAAAATAAAGGAATAATGATTATGGAGTTTCGCCAAAGTCTCACTGCCCAGTAACCTGCAAACCAGCGCTTCTGAACCCACAGCAATAGGGCAACAAACATGTATTTCCTCAGGGACATTATTAAACACTCTGCATATTTATTATCTCAAAATGGGAGCAGGTCCAGATTTCGAAGGCCACTTTTTCCCTTCCTCGTCATGAGCTGTGATTCAGACCAGCATATAAATATTTGACTTAATGTTTCTGTGGAAATATTAATGATATAAAATTGCTAGAAACAAAAGAACATGAAACAGCAGAGGGAAGGAATGGCTTGGCAAGATTGTCAGCCTTAAAGGGCAAGATTAATTTATAATCCTCCTAGATTCTGATGTGCAAATACAAATTTGCAAAGCATGTAGCTTATAACAGACATTGTGTAGCTCTGCAAGTTTACATATGCTACTGTCACTAATGTGAGACAACCTTGAAATTGGATTTTTAGGGATTTTTTTTTTTTGTTGGGGAAATAAGGTAGTGATAGTAACAAGGAGTTTCTGTACACACGTGTGTATACATATAAATATACATGTAAATTTGGAAAGTGGAGGAATTCCAACTGTGTGACTAAGCAGAGTTCTGGGCAGGAAACCCAGATATTTTCATGAGGAGTTTTTTCCCTTGGTTTAAAATCCTGGGAAAAGAGGAGTGAAGAAGGGAGTGGGGGGGGAAAAAAAACCCTTGGAAGTAATCTATTTTGTAATGACTTTATGATGGCTAATAAAAAGAACTGACTAATTGGAAAATAATGTGTGATGGTTCTCTGGTTTTGTAAGGGTTGTTGTGAAATAAGCATGCTTATGGAATTTGTCTTTTTTTGTAAGTTTGTAGCTGTTTTATCAATTTAACTGAAAAAAATGAAATAGAATTAAATAAAATGTGAAATTCTAGACATAGATTGAATACAATAGCAATGGAATGATAGAAACTTTAAGTAGTGAACTAGAAGACAGTAAAGATAAGACAGGAACTGACTAAGGACTTGGCTGGCTTTTCCGGGCGTTTAACACAAGAATTACATAGTGTTTTCTGAATGATTGAAACTGTATTTTATAGTTACATAGTATATATTACCATGAACTCTATTTTATAGTTATATATTATTGGCAGGAAACATACCTCAACATTAGGTAAAAGATGTGGGTTTAGAATTACTTTAAAAGTTTTTATAAAATGATGTGTAACTTCTTGTTTTCCACCATGCAGGTCATCAGCAGTGAAGGGACAGAGGGAGCAAAGTTTCGACTCTCTGGTAAGGGAGTAGATCAAGACCCAAAAGGAATTTTTAGAATCAATGAAATCAGTGGGGATGTCTCCGTGACCCGAAGCCTTGATAGAGAAGCAATTGCCAATTATGAGGTGAGTACTTATAGCAATAGGATCTCTGCCTCTATGTTGATAATACTTTTTTTGAATACATATTTGCTTTTGAAAAGGCTGCAGTCATTGAAGGCTAAATTGCGACTACTGTCCTATAAAATTTCCGGAAGAACTGTTTGTCCTTAGGAGATGGTAAATGTGTTTATTTTTACATGCAATCAAAATTCTACTCTGCTTTCTGCATGTAATCTGTGTCATTTATCTTTAGTCGAAATACTGACTGAACATTGTGTCTGCATTTGATTTGTGAATACAAAATTGTGTTTGGACAACAGGAGATCTTTTCAGAAAGTTGCCACTAAGGTGCTGCATGGTTATACTTTTTCTTTTTAATTGTCAAGTTATCAATGGAATATAATGGATATCTTTTAATAGCGATAAAGAAGATTTTCTTAATATGAAAATGATAGCAGACACATCGCTGTCAGATGTATGTCTCCTACAAAGATTTTACTAAGGATTCCATTCCTTGTCAATAAATGCTATGTTTCTCTCCATTGAAATTCCATCTCTCAAATCTGTAAAAAACTGCACCACAATGTCCTGAAATGCATAGTATAAATAGAGGATCTGTCAATTCATGTTTTCTATCTAGCTCTTGAAATATGCAGTCAGAGAAATTGGCTGTTTTGATACAGCGAGCAGCAGAATTCAAAATGCTAAATGGCTAGTACGTTTGCACGTTGCCACTTCTGCCACACTGTGAGGGGCTGAGCTCCATATCCTCGTGCAGCAGGGAGCAGGCGGTACATCTGCCCACATGGGGCACAGGTTCTGGCGACAGTCCTACTGCCATCCCTGACCTCTCTGTTTTGTCTTCTGCTGTGTAGTAATCAATACTTGTACTCTCAGTGCTGCTTTTCTCCTCCTCTGGAAGAGTTTGCCAGTTAGATGACTAGTCATACTTGCTCAAACAGCACTGCTAAAATTTACCATATGTTGGTTTTCAACACTGAAACATCTATTTCTCATCCAGGTCTACAATGAAATGTATGTTAACCACTCACATGGGATTTATGGTAGTTACTGATGTCCTTCTTAAAAGAAAAACATTGCAGTTTCTCTTTTTAACACTGTTCCTTGTCTTCATTTACCAGCTGTTTCTTATTTTGTCAGTGGCTTTCCACCTTAATGTGTGCGCTATAAACCTTGAATTTTTTTTTACTGGGAAATCATAGATGTCTTTTCAACCTAATGCATCAAACCACAAATGATCCTCCTATCTGATCTGGCAAAGTATACACTTAAATTAAGACAAAAACATTTCCCTAGAGGAGCCTTTTTGAAGCAATGCAAATTATATACAAATAGTGCAGTGTAATAGATTATGCAGAGCAATGTTGAATGTATATCCTAATAGGCTGTAGTGCTTTCTAACCTGTTATATAGCATTCTGCTCAGCGTGCTCACTGGCATCCTGTTGTGCAAAATGTAGTTGACAAGTTCTGTAGGAGAACCCTCAACTTGATTAGTCTGTCTTTTGAATCCAGCCCATTGTTTTCCAATAAAGATGTTTCATGGTGTCAGGAAGGCAGCAGGATTTTCTCCCTGATTTCCTTGGTACATCAAAAGATGAATTACCTGAAAGACCCTTAAATTTCTCTCGAAAGTGTTTTTGTTTTCTGGTTTTGTTTGAGCTCCCCCCTGACTAGTATTGATGTCCTGAAAGAAAAAGTTCAAAGCAAAGGGCAAACAAGGAAAGAATAGATCTCAAAGAAGTTCTTTGCAAGCCATCATACCATCAAGTATATAATCAGTGGTGGAGCAAGGATAAAAAGATGAAATCTGTTTGAATCCTTCCAGCTGCACAGAGGGCGGCTGTACATGAGCACTGATTCATTTCCTCTGCTTAGTGCATATATACGCAAGGGATGAGAATTAAAAAAAAATGTTAATAGGGCATACAATAGAGCTTTGGTGATCATAGTATTTCATAGAACTCTGCAGATTTTACCATCCATGTACCTCAAAATGTAATCTATTATAAAAATTTGTTATTATTTCCTTCATTGAATGTTTGAAATTCTGCTTTTTGCTGCCCTTTTTCTCCTGGAGGAATATTGAAAAACCTGTGGGAGTTTTTCTCTATATTCATTAGAAGAGAAACATGATTAAATTAGGAGTACTCAATTCTAGTCAGACAATTGTTGATTGTCTGAGTTAATCCCCTCTTTCTAATGCCTTTTTTTTAAAAAAAAATAAAAATTAATAAAAGAGAGAAAATATTTTAAAATACAGTTTAAAAAATCTGTATGAGGGTCAGGGCCTGGCAGTCTATTTTGTGTAGCCCATTTGCATGGCAGTTGTGTTTTCAGATGACTTTAGATTTTTGTCTGTTAGCAAAAGAAACTCAAGCTGGCAAGAAGAATACAAGGCGTCTACGTTAATGACACCCCACCCCCTGAAACAGATTTATTTATTCAATTGATTTATGAGTTTATTTTTTATTAAATCAGTTAAATAGTTCAAAAAACAGACAAGTATGTGAAATTCCATCAAAATATTAATGTCGGGGTGATTAAGTGCCATAGTAATTCTGACCTAATCATGTGCCCATTTGAAAATATGATGGCTTCTATTGAGAAAATGAAACTGGGCCAGAGCTGGGTGAGACAGTGAAAGTCCGAAAGCCACTACATTGAAATTACCCATTGGTAATTGTTTTTTTTCTCATGTGCATGGAACGGTGCTGATGAAATTGTCTTTGCCAATGGAAAAAGGTAGATGCTTCTGGTATGTTTGTTCCTGTAATTTCGTGGGGTGCCTCCTTAAAGGTCAGAGAATATCAGTCAAGTTCAGTTTTAAGTGAAAGCTGTTTATGAAGACCACCAAGAGGATGTAAGGACATGTTATTCCCGGCAAAGACAGACTGTTTTAGAAAAGTGTGTAGTAATTCCTTTTTTTCTTTTAAAGAGATTTGATAAAGAGTACCCTGATAGGAATTCTTCAGGTCAGAGTAAACCATTGGGATTTACAATGAATGGTTTTATTCTGAGGCTTGCTACAGCCTGTTGATGAAACTACTAAATGATGCTCTGAAGAAGGGGCTTAAGCAGAATACAGACATATCATTGAATTGTTTCTGGGTTGGTGAGATAAGCAGGTAGCCTAGAGCCCCTATTTAGTGGGAGCAAATGGTGTTCAGTTCTACAAATATGCTCTCAAAAATAATGTCTTTGGTTTTCTCTCAAGATGTGAATAAATAAGACTAGTTGGAAATTTCAGACAGTGGCAAATAATTTATTTAGTATTGAAAAATTCAAATGAGTAAAAAAAGATGAAGGAACTTGGTGGGGAGTTTTAAGATGGATTTTCTAGTCCAAAACAGTGAGGTACACACCGTGCAAAAATTACTGATAATCTGTGTAATTCTGAGTTCACTTCAGATCCCTAGTCTTTTCTGATTCCAGCAGAGCAGAAATATTAGTGACTTTTCAGTTGTATCTTTTAGTAAAAAAAAAAAAAAAATCAAGACAATCAAGTGTTTCTAGAAAGAGCTGCAATAACAACTAAAGGATTCCAATGAAGTTGAAAGCCTGATTGTGCTAAGTGTTGACAAAAGACTAGTGAATTAGGAAACAGGTTCAACTAGAGGGCCAGTGAAGACTGGCTGGAAAAGCAGTGGTTATGGGGTAATCTGTTAAAAACACTGAGCTCATTTTCAAAACTTCAAATTTACATAGATAATGTATTCGTAGGCAGAATGCTTTCATGCAGCCATGAACTATGTTTTGTTCCTTACTCAAAGTTAGGTAGGCTCAGAAGAAATGGGAACAATATTTCATTAACTTTTCACAGTTAATGCATGAGATTTTGGTTAGGCATTCCTTGGGTACAGGAGAAAGCCTGAAGTTGTATAAACTTGTTTCCCATCACTTATCACTGAATATAATGCCTACAGCAGTAAAGTCCAGTTCTGTAACCTCTTAAGCATCGGTGGCAAATTGCCAATCGGTCAACAAGGGAGGGGGCTTTCAATTGGGTCTCAAGATTTTAAAGGGTGTTGCCATTGTTGATGGGCTTTTTCATAACTGCTTGCCACGTATAAATACGTGTGGGAGAAAAATAATCAGAAAGTGATCCTTTGCAAGCATGAAATGAAGAAGCTTGATAAAACTATTCAGTGACAGTGTGCAAATTAGAGCTGTGACCAAATTTACCTAGGCGATTTGAACTGTTAATGAAGAGTTAGTTTTAATTATTTTTTAAGTAAAGAGCTTTATTTGCTTTAGAATATACTTAACAAGCAGAGGTGTGAAATCAGCTTTCAGCTTTTTTTTATAATGACAGATCACACTTCTGTGAAAGGATGCCTTGCAACGGGTAGTGACAGACTGCGATATTTAGAAAACTTATGTTACAGGACTGAAAAGCAGATTAGGACTATTTGCTCTATGCAGTATTGTTTCTGTACGTTGGATAACAAACAGACTGAGAACAGGCTAAAGAATTCAGGCCAATAAACAGCAACCAAATCTCTGGTGTGAACTGCTTCAGTTTAGGTTATGTGAGACTGTTTATGTGACTGAGCCAAATATTTAGGGTAATACTGTAGTCTTAATGGACTTCTGTGGTTAATATGGAGCAAATAGTGGAAATGCTTCACAATCATGAAGAAAACTAGCTTGGTTGGGTGCCAAGGAGTATTTTGAGAGAAGGATTTTTAAGTACTTGAATGCGTTTTTGCAGATACTGAAAGTATTGTAGCAAAAAACTAGAAATGAACAGCTGTAATTTATCCTGTACAGAAGTATGAATTTGTTTTCTGTGTAAGTCCATTTTACAGCAGCCACATCCTTTTCAGAATGATTTATCATACCCCGATACTGCATCTCTGCAATATGCAGTATGGAGATATATAGTCAGCACACAGAACCATGCTTTTCTTTGAGAAGGAAAACCACAAACTTGCTTCTAACTCCAAGACTGGTCTAAACTGTATTTTAATCTTCATTGCCTGCACTGGCAGAATTATCTGA